CCGGCTGTCGCTGTGGCCCGGGTGGGGGGGGGGGGCGGGGCGGGGGGGGGGGCGAAAAAAAGGCCCCCATCAGGCCATCCCTCGCCTCCGGTTCCGCGCCCTAGAAAAGCACCCTGCTCCGCTGAGCCCCGGGCCCGGGTGGGGGGGGGGGCTCACCCGGTGGCCGCGCGCTCCTGCGGCGCTATTTTTTGCGGCCCTTGGCGGGGCGCCGATTGGCCATGGAGGCATTACCCCCAGCGCACCCCGGCGACCCCGTTGCCCCGCTATAAGGGGGCGGGGGCCGGGGCCGGGCGCGCGGGGGAGGCCCGGGCGGACATGCAATGATCATCCGGCGAGCCCGGGGCGGAGCCCCCGCCCCAGCCACTTGCCCGGCCGCCCCCCGGTCGGGCCTCCGCCCGGTCCATCAAGAGGCGGGCAAAAGCGTCCCCCCGCCCCCGCCCCCGCCCCCGCCCCCGGGCAGTATGCGGCGCATTGTTCCGACCCGCCTGACGGGGGGGGGGAAAAGGGAAGAAAAAAAGAGGGCGGGCCGCCCCGCGCCGAGACCCCGGCCTGAGCCGCAGCTGGCCATGCTAGCGGGGCAGGCATCGGCCAAGGGCAGGCGCCAAAGGCCGGCCCGCCGTGGCACGGCTGCCAGGAAAAAGGGAAAATAATAATGGCTGGATGTATTACGAGCAAGCCATTTCCCCCCCCCCCCCCCGCAGCCCCAGGAAAAGGCCCCTCACACCGGGCGCGGCGGCGGTGGCCTGCACAAGGACGAACGTTCTATTTGGCCCCGGTCACGCGGGGGCCGAGGCAGGGCCTGCAGCACATTGTGTGCGGTGGGGGGCACATGCGTAGGGGGATGTGCGCGCGCGCGTGTGTGTGTGTGGTGTGGGCGTGTCTGTTGGCGTGCTCCCCGGGCGGCGGCGGGGCCGGCCCGGCCCGGCCCGGGATGCGGACAATGGCCGCCCGTGTGAAGGGGAGGGCTGTCTGTCGGTGGCGGCCGATCGGCGCGCGGGCATGGGGGGGTCAGGGCGCGGCGCCGAGCGGGGCGCGGGCGCGCACCGGCGCGGCCGAGGGCCGCACCGCGCCGCCCATCATGTTGGTCGAGTGCACCGAGCCCAGGGGGTCCGTGCCGTAGAGGCTGTCGTGGGCGCCGCCGCCGGCGTCGGTCCCGGGACCGACGGGGCCCGGGCCGGCGGCCCCGGCGCCGGCCGAGGCCGGCCGGTGGGCGGCGCTCGCGCACCCGGCCGACCCGAAGTCCGGCTCGCACTCGAAGCCGGCCGGCAGCGGCGGCTCGGCGGCCCCCGGGCGCCAGGTGTGCCCCGGCGTCTGAGCCACCAGCGGCCGGGCCATTTGGATGATGGCGCCCAGGCTGGCCAGGGCCGCGGCCGAGGTGGGCCGGTCCCCCGGGCGTTGGGCCCAGCACCGGGTGGCCAGGTCGGAGAAGGCCTGGCGCACGGCCACCGGCCAGGGCCCGTGCACCGGCCCGGTGGCCGGGCGCCGGCCCTCCAGGACTCCCTGCTCGACGGCCTGACGGGTGTGCCCGGCCCAAAGCTGCCGCCGGGTCATCAGCTCGACCATCATGGACCCGAGGGCGTACATGTCGCTGTAGCGCGCGTCGCAGGCGATTTCTGACTGGTCCCGGTGGCAGGCGAAGAGCTGGCGCCCAGTCGGGGGGGGGACGGGAGGGCCGAACACGAAACGGGGTTAGTGTTTCTGGCGGCCGGGGCCCCCGACGCGGCGGCCCGATTCCTCGTGCCCGTGAATGTTGTGCGGCCGGACGTGCGTGAGCCCGATCGCCCCCAGGCATCCCCCCCCTCCGGCTCCGGACGGGGCGCGCGGGCCTGGGCCGATCGGCCGACGGCTGCCCGGGCATGGTGCGCCCCCGCGCGCGCGGGCGGGCACGCCAGTGTGCGTGCGCGCCTGTGGCTGGCCGCATTTTCCGGTCGCCCCGTTGCCCCCCCCCCCCCCCCCCCCCCCGCTGCCCCCCCGCCCCCGGCGTCGTATGCAAGTGTGCGCGTGTGTCGGCCCGCGGCCCCGCCGGGGTGGGTGCGCACCTCGGGCGACGCGTAGCGCGGGGAGAGCCCGGCCGGCGGCGGGCCGTCCGGCTCCTGGGTCCAATGCCCGGCGCCTGCATGGCCAATGGGCCGGGAAATGCCGAAGTCTCAGATGACCGCGCGCCAGAAGCCGCCCCGGCCGGCGGACAGGGCCAGGCTGGTGTCGCGGCTGGCCCGGTTCTTGGCCTTCAGGCGCATGGTCTCCGCTTGGGGCCGGTCGATCCACTGGAGGAAGACATTGGAGGCCTTGATGTCCGAGTGCGAGAACCCCAAGTCGTGGATGCTCGCCAGCGCCGAGGCCACCTGCCGGGCCACGTCCAGGGCCATGTGCCACGGGACGGCCAGGCGCTCCGGGGCTAGCCCGGCCAGCGCCTTGCCGGCACAGTGCAGCTGCGTGTGCAGGTCCGTGTCATACACCGGGGTGATGATGGACGGCGGCGAGTGGGTGAATGCCAGCAGTGGCACCGTGTGCACCGCCTGGCTCAGGGCCCTGCGCGGGGTCCGGCGCCGATGTCCGCCGGCAGCGACGTCCGCCGCGGGGGAGAGAGGCGGGCGGGGGGGGGGGGGGGGGGGGGGGGGGGGGGGGGGGGGGGGGGGGGGGGGGGGGGGGGGGGGGGGGACGGGCGGGGCGGCCGGGGGGGGGGGGGGGGGGGGGGGGGGGGGGGGGGGGGGGGGGGGGGGGCGGGGCGGGGGGGGGGGGGGGGGGGGGGGGGGGGGGGGGGGGGGGAGGGGGGGAGCGGGAGGGCGAGTGTCAGAGATTGTGGGTGTCCGGCCAGGGGGCGGCATGCGCGAGAGGGAATGCCGCAGGCAGGCACATGCACCGCCGCCATTGTGTTGGGGCCCGGGGGGGGGGGGGGGGGGACGGGGCATGCCCGCGCACCGCACGTACCAAGTGGTGATGAGCTCCTGCTTGAAGGCATCCCAGGCGACGCGCGACTCGTCGCACACTGTCCCCGCGCGCGCAAGCGGGGCCGCAGGCCAAGAGGAGAAGGGGTCCAGCAGAGTACCAAGGTCGGGGTTAGGACAACGGCCGGGGTCGCGAGCGGATATGGCGGGCCCGAGAAGAGAAAAAAGAAGCGGCAGCAGCAGCAGCAGCAGCAGCCGCCGCCGCATGGGCAACAATGCACAACAGCCCCAAGGCCAGCCCGCCCCGGGGGCAGGGGCGCACCGAACACCGTCTTCACGGCGGCCAGGCCCCGGCCCGTGGTGCCGAAGCCCTCGAACTCAATCTTGTCCAGGTTGTTCAGGTGCGTCTTGGTTTGGAAGGCCTCCAGGCGGAGGTGCGCGGCTTTGACCTCGGCCTGGCCGCCGACCCCGAGGACCGGCAGGTCGTCGGAATACTCGACGGCCTGGTCGTAGTCGATGTGCAGGAAGCCTGGCAGGCTGGGATCAATCATGTTTGGGCGCCTGGCGGCGGCGGCGGCGGTCGCGCCTGCCTCGCCGTCGACGCCCGGCGAGGAGGCCCCGCTGCCGGTGCTGATGTCATCGTTCGACCCGGCTGACAGGGCCGGCGACCGGGGGCTCCCCAGCAGGTAGGACGTGCTGTTGAGCGTGGAGCTGGAGTCGGAGAAGTCCCGCAAGTCCGGCGACCCGGACTCCGGGTCGCCCGCCCTGGCGGGGCCCTTGCCCCGGGGGCCGCCGGGCCCGGCCGAGCCGGCGTCATGTTCCGAGGCGTCGCCCCGGCGGCGGCGCTGACGGATGGCCACAAAGCCCACCCCCAGCCCCACCACGATGACCAGCAGCAGGCCGCCTCCGGCCCCGCCGGCAATCAGCATGTAGTTGGTGCCCCCGGCGCCCGGCGTGGTGCCCGGGCTGCCGCTGGTGGAGAAGGAGTCCGATGAGCCCGGGCCGGGGCCGGAGCTGTGGCTGCCGCTCGCCGAGGACCCGGGCCCGGGCGAGCCGCTCGAGCTCCCCTGGCCGGGGCCCGGCCCGCTGGATGCGGAGTCCGAGGAGTCGGGCATCGGCGGGACTGCACACGGAGGGGAGGGGCGGGGGGAAGGTAGCTCACCCAAGGAGGCGGCCTATATCCGCAAGGAGGCGGCCGATGCCGCCAGGATGACGAAGAGGTACCAGCTGCACCAGGAGGAGGTCCGCTGCCGGCGCCGCCACGGCAGTTCCCTTCCCCCCGGGCGCCCGCCGGGCGGCGGGGCCATTTGTTTCGCCCCACATGCCCGTGCCCCATGTCACTCCCCCGCCCCCCCCCCCCCCCCCCCCCCCCCCCCCTGCACCCATGTCCCTCCTCTCGCCTCCCGGCTCGCCCGGCCCCCGGCTCCTCGGCCGGCTGCGCCTCTCGGCGCCATGCACGCACTCAGCTCACAGAGCCCCATCGTCCGATGGTAGCCCGGCGCACAGAAGAGACAGTGGTAGGCCGTGGCGCCGGTGCACGTCTTGCAGGCCTCATCGCAGGTCTCGCACACATTGAACGGGCGCTCGTCCTCCGGGGCGGCCGGGCGCAGCCACATGCCGGCCGGGCAATCCAGCACGCACATGCCATCCAGCAGGGCGGCATCGGGATTGGCACAGGCGGTGCACCGGCTGGCCCCGGCGCACAGCGAGCACCCGGCCGGGCAGGTGTCACAGGCATTGGCCTGCGGATTGTAGAAGTACCCGTCGCCGCAAATGGCCGCCGCCTCGGCCGGGCTGGCGAAGCCCCGGCACTCGGTCGACTGGGGCGGCATCACGGCATCCGGCTGGCACAGGACACACTGGCCGGAGGTGTCGAGGCAAAGTTCGCAATGGGCCGGGCAGGCGGCGCACTGGCCGGCCGGGGCCCCGGCCGGCCGGAAGTACCCCGCCGCGCAGAGGGTGCACGATCGGAAGTCCCCGAAGGCCCTGGCCGGGGGCTTCTCCTGGTAGGCCTCGGCACACTGGCACAGGCCGAGCCCCTCGGCCCCGGTGCTCGGGAGGGTGGTTGCATCGCAGGTGGCCGCGCGGAAGCACGACCGGCTGTAATGGCCGGCGGCACATTCGCCGCAGGTGGGCCCGGTGAAGCCGGCCAGGCAGACACACCGCCCGGCTTCGGGGCCAGCCAGCGCGCAGGTCCCCCGGCCGCTGCAATCGCAGCCATAGCTCCGGGCCCCGAGCAGCGGGTTGATCGCCAAGCGCAGGGTCACCATGCCGGCGTTGTCGCCGGTCGCCGGGGCCAGGACCTCCGCGTGGATGAGGGCCGCGGCCGTGGGGCCGCCCGGGCCCGGGAGGACGCCCCACATGAGCCGGCTCTCCAGGGCCAGCAGCGGCACCGGGCTGGCCAGGAGCGGCCAATTGTCCTTCCGGAAGCCGACATTGCCCGGGATGAAGGGCTGCCCACGCTGGCGCACGCCCACATTCAGGGCCCGGGCGCCGGTGAAGAGGCCCGGCCGGTCCAGCGGCCCGGGGCCCGGCCGGTAGAGCATCACCTCGCCGGTGGCGAAGAAGGGGGAAAGGTTCTGCACTTGGGGATTGGGCTCGTGGTCGGCGAAGGTGACCTGGTGGCGGGCCAGCCGCGGGCCATGGGCCGGCGGGGTCCCCTCGGCCGGGGGTGCCCCCGGGCCGAAGTGCCGGTCAAGCATGCCGGCCATCGGGCCCGGCAGGCCGAGGCAGCCGCTGGTGTCCGCCGGCCGGGCGGCCAGGCTCGCCTGCAGCACAAACAGCTCCCCCCGGGCCAGGGCCGCCTGGCTGGGGGCATCCTGCAGCGGGCCCACCGCGCGATTGGCAAACACCCAGTACCCCAAATGGGCCACCCCATGATCGCGATAGGCACTGACCAGGAGATCGGGATCGCCATCCCCATCGACGTCCAGCAGGGCCGCGTGCGGGACCTGGCGCAGGGTGGCGGTGCCGGCCTGCGGCGAGTCCGGATCCGCGCACAGGGTGACCTCCTCCGGCGCGGGCAGGGTCGCCGCGGCCGGGGCGCTGACCGGCAGCGCCTCGCCGAAGTCCACCTCGACCGGGGTCCCGGCCGGGGCGCACCCCCGGCACGAGGCCACCAGGTGGAAGACCAGCTGGTTGCCCTGGTGCCGGGCCACCAGCACATCGTCCAGCCCATCGGCATTGACATCGCCCCGGACCAGCCAGGTGCGCTGGTGCGCGTGCGTCAGCCGGGCCCGGAAGAGCACCCCCGACACCCGGGGCTCCGATGCTCCCAGGCACAGGGCCGCCACTCGGAGCTCCATCCACGCCTCGCCGGCCTGGTCGGCTTCCGAGAGAATGGCCACCTGCTCGCAGAAGGGCCCATCCCCCGGGGCCCGGCGGTCTGTGAGCACGGCGAAGTCCAGCACCGGTGGCCGGGTCGCAGCCGGCAGGCCGGCCGGGGCAAACACCAGCCTCGAGTCGGCCTGCACCCCGGGCTCGGGGCCGGGCGCCAGCTGGAAGGTCCCATGCATGAGCCCCCGGGCATCGGCCCAGAATACCCCACCGGGCCATTGCGAGGGCAGCACCTTGTCACGATCATACCAGGCCAGCGGCCAGGTGCTCAGCCGGGGATCGGTGTACACCTGGTGCAGGGGATGCCCCGGGGGGAAGGCCCCGGCGTGGACCGGCAGCGAGGTGGCCGGCGTCTCGGCCAGGAAGAGCCCGGACTCGACGGCCCCCTCCAGCGGCCCCATCAGCTGGATGGAGGTCTCCATGCGCATGACCAGCCGGGCCGGGCCAGCATCCTCGGGCAGCATGATGGTTGTGAAGCCGCGGATGCCGGGGACCAGGAAGTCCGGGCGTCCGGCGCCGGCCGGGCCGCGGCGCACCACCGCCGACAGACCCTCAAAGGGCTCTGGCAGCTCGCCGGCCTGGGCCGCAGCCCCGGAGGCCAGCGCCAGGGCCGCGACGAGAAGCCAGCACAGCATGGCCATAAGGGGGCAGGGGGTGACTGGACATGTGGCCCAGGGTGAGTGGGGGTTCGGCGAGGCAAGTGACAAGAGGGCGCGAGTGGGGGCGGGGGGGGGCGAGGCGGCGCTGGATGCCCGGGCAGGAGCCCCAACGGCCGAGCCAGTGGCATGGGTGTGGGCAAATCGGGCAGGGGGAGCGCTCGGGGGCCGTACATTCAGCGAAGGGAGGCCACAGGCGGCGCTGTGTCGTGGGGGGAGGGCGAGGGGGTCGGCGCGCTTCGAAGGAACGGCAGAATGCTGGTGGCCCTTGTGCGAACAAGCACTCGGGGGAATATGTGCAAAATAAAACGAACAACAGGGGAAGCAGAGGAGAGTGCTGGATCACACAAGGACCGGGAGGCCAATCCTAGGGGGCCTTTTATTCCCGGCCACCGCCCCCGCCACTGTCCCCGCCACCGCGACTCCAGGTCTCACGTCGAGCGGGTCCCTGCGGGCGGCGTGTCCCTCCCCCAGGGAAAGGTGACGGGGCAGCCGGACGCCCGTCTTGTTGTTCTTTCCCGCTGGGCATCCGAGACCCAGCCGGAGGCATGGCTGCTACCTTCAGATTGCTGGAGACACTGCTCGCGCATCCGGGATGTGGGGCTGGCACACGCACACACACCTATCGACAGTCGCCTGTCCACATGTGTGTGTGTGTGTGTGTATGTTGCAGCGCGGTATCGAGATCTTCCTTCCCGAGTCACGGCTTCGAGGGGCCCCTCTCCGGGACATGCATCCCCCTACCCGGCATGTCTAGATCCGTCCTCCTGTTGGCCTCCCCCTCCCCGCCCCTTCCCACGGCCGGGGTCCCTGCCCAGCACGTCGCCGGGCGTGTAGCACCCCGGGGCCCGGGCGCGATCCGCGGCACCAGGGCCTTGCCCCCGCCCGCACGGAAACAAACACCCAACGAGGCGGCCCATGGCGAGGACAAGAGCGCCACAGCAGAACGGGGAAGCCCCCCCCTCCCCCGCCCTTCCCTGAGTCCCGCCACAATGTCCAGCCAGTAGCGCATCCCCCCCCCTTAGAGCGGCACACCCAGTCACACGCTCGTCCTCCGGCAAGTTGGCCGGGGCATCGCCCACCGTTGCCGTTTTTATTGCCCCCCCCCCCCCCCTCCCCGGCCCAGGGCAGGCGGCCCTGTGCTCTTCCTCCCCCCCGCTCGGGGGCTACGCGCCAATCCTGCTCTCGACCCGCGGATGTAAATACCAAAATAAGGCCCAGCCCGACCCACGGACCCCAGGTCCGAGTACAAGCATCGTAGATGGCGCGCATCCGTCGGGCTGAGAGCGTTTGCCATCTCGTAGTCCCGCATGCGGCGGCACCTGGGCCCCTTCTCGGGCATGAACCCGTGCAAATGCACATGACCCTACTTCTGTCGCAATGTCATGTGCCAACGATCGGACCAATTAACACCGCCGTTCTGGTGGGCCCCGGGCGCACCGGGCAGTCCCATCAGGAGGCGGCGGCAGGTCAAGGGGGGGGGGGGGGGCGCGCGCGCGCGCGGGGGCGCGGGGGATATCGTGCCCCCCCCTGCCGCGCTGATCTCCCCATTCGGCCCGGCTTGCCCCCTCTCGGGCAATCCCTCGCTCCCGTCCCCGTTGTCCCCGGTGTGCCCCTGCGTGCCTTGCGCCCGCCGTGGGTGTCCTTATTTTTCTCCGGCCGGTTCTCTTCGGCTCTTGCCTCGGGGTTCGCTTTGCTGTCCTCGGTGTGCTAGCGCGTCGATCCTTCGGGGGAGATTGGGACGTGCGCGGCCCCCGGGCCCGGTCGTCACTCCGGCCTGTTCTGGTCCTGCTCCTGGGGCGGGGGGGGGGGGGAGGGGGGGGGGCTAGGGGCGTGGTGCTGGCGGTGGGGTGGTGGTATTGCTGACGGTGGCGCGCGCACGCGGTCCCGGCCCGTGTCAATCCTGCAGATCGCGCCGGTCCACGCGAGAAGGGCGGAGATCTTCGTGTCGTTTGTGTGTGCATGTCTGCGCGCCTGCCGGTGGGCATGGCGCCCTGGGCTCCCGCACCGGACGGAAGCTGGCCGGGTGGGATGACGCGGCTAGCTGCGGCGAGAGGCCGCCCCCCCCCCCCCCCCCGGCCGAGGCAATCCCGACACCTGGGAGCCTTGTCGGACACATCCGCACCCGCCTGGGCCTTTTGAGTCACCAGGGAACTGGCCGACCGGGTGCGGCCCTGGCACCCCCGCCCCACCCTCCTCTCCCCTCCCTCCGCGCCCTCCTCCGCCCGGCTCCCCATTCCCGTCTCCCCGCTTTTCCTTCCCTCGCCTGCCCCACAGCCCGGCCCCGATGGCCTGAGCCGGCATCACAACCTTTCCCCTTCCTCTCCCTCTTTCCCTGCTTGCCGTTCGCCCTCCCCCGCCCGCACAGCCGCTCGAGGCGCGTCGCTGCCGGACCTGGCGTCCTTGCGTGTGTGCGTCCTTTGTCCCTGCTTGCTCGTGAGAGGCGCAGGTGAGAGCCCCGCCAAAGGAGGCGTATAAACTGACACCCAACCTCTCTCTCTCTCTCTCTCTCTCTACCCCTCCCCCCTGCCCTCGCTCCCTCGTGCCCTCTCCTCCTCTCTTTCTTCGCCTCGGTTTCAGACTCCTCC